GAGCTTCCATTCTACAACAAAACCGTTCCAATAAAACGCCCATAAAGCCGTTTATTTTTTTATTATATTAACTGTATTTTATTTATTTTATGAAGGGAATAATGTATAGGCCTACATATGTTTTTATTTCTCCCTGAAATATTCAGTGTTTAAGTTTTGAGTTTCCCTAGTTAGCTACTGACAACATTTAGACAGTTATTAATTTTTTTCTTTAATAAAAATAACTTTACATTAAAACGTAACCTTAAAGTTCGGCACTTGACTTGTCAGACAATTTTTTTTTTAAGTGAGTGGTGTTTTAATATAGTTTGTTCGTTACATGATTATTTAAGGGTCTGGTTGATAGTTTGCAGCTATTTTACGAGTTTTATATAATTTTATTTAGGCCTATTATTTTATTTCATTTCTTATTCACTCTGTGGAATTTAACTTCAATTTACTAGGCTTAGCTTAGATTGTAAGATTTCAAGCATATTAGTCAACTCCCAATTAACCGGGGGAATTGAATGACTGGTTGAAGTGTCATGGATAACCCAAAATCACGGTGAAAGCAAAGGCATAAAGGCATTCAATAAATAAACAAAGCACGTTTTCTCATGTAGCCGTATTACATGTATGTTTAATAAACTTTAAGCAAATTAAATGTTTTTAACACAATACCTACTAATGACTGCAATATTTTTAAACCCTGAAAAAATTATGGTAATTTTCTGGCTGAAATAATATTTTTTTAAATAAATAGTTTATAAATATAAATATAATTTCTTGTCAAAATAGCATAAAAGAGGTTAAAAACTACTAATTTTAGACCTAAAATTTCAAAATTTTAAAATAATACCCCCCGGTTAATATGGAATACCCCCCGGTTTTTGGTTGACGCCCTCATGACACTTTGTCCAGCGCCCTCTTGAGGGTCCCAGCACGGCCCTGTTCTTATTTCAAAAATCCTTTCGGGCTCCGCCCCAGTGGCTCTGGAGTTTCCCATGTTAACCTTATGAGAAATGGAATTATTGAATCTTAACAGCTGTTTCAATTAAACAAGTTGGTTCTGTTCTATGATGTTCAATAGCATTAAAGTCACAAGGATTACCAACAGGGTGCAGCACTATTATTTCTTTTACATTTATGACAACAGCTAATTTGCAACCAAAAGGTGAATGAGCGTAGCGAACGAACTTCAACCTAGAGGCGAGTTAGCGTAGCGAACAAGCTAACCTGAAGGCAAGTGAGCGCAGCGAACGAGCTCCAACCTAAAGGTGAGTGAGTGTAGCGAACGAGCTCCAACCTATAGGTGAGTGAGCGTAGCGAACAAACTTCAACCTATAGGTGAGTGAGCGTAGCGAACAAACTTCAACCAGGACGTGATTGAGCCATGCGAACGAGATAATCTTGAAAATTAAGAAGTTAAACGGGGCAAAGCCCGCGGGTTACAGCTAGTCTTATTATAAATCTCTGATGCATCCGATAAACATTTTATAGACAGCCAGTCCATCTGCCCCAATACCTGTCCCAATATAGCCACATTTATCTTTGTATTTATCTGTTTTGTCTTATCAGTTGGGCAGGAGTTGTCAGGCTGGACATTGATAACACAGGTGTAGTGATCTGCTATCTTAGTCTGAACTACATCTGAGTTGACCTTAGCTCTTTTCACTCTAATGAATGCATGGTCTAAACATGTTTGTGTTAGTTTTCCTCCTCTTACTTCCTCCCTTGTATAACAATTTATGTAAGAATCTAAGCCATGCCCTGCCATCATAATTTTGTAATCTTGAACTTTTTTCTTATGTAAATCTCTTAAATCTAAATTCATATCTCCTATTACTATTATGTTTCCTTTTATACTCTGTAATATTTGATCTAATTCTGTAATAAATCCTGTTTCATATCTCCTATTACTATTATGTTTCCTTTTATACTCTGTAATATTTGATCTAATTCTGTAATAAATCCTGTTTCATCACAAATTGGCTGTCTATATTTGGCTAAAATGCTAGTTTCAAAACTTTCCATTTTAATATCAATGAGCATGCTTTCAAAATTCGTACTGTTGGTTGATACCCCATGCACCAAAATATCTTTTCTGGCAAAGATTAAAATACCTCCACCCCTCTTTTCTTCCTTTAGAGTAAAATACTTATTGTAATTTTCTATACTAAACAGATTTAACATATCAGATAACTCATCCTTAATATTAACTTCAGTGAGAACAATTACATCAATCAAATTTAAACAAGTGCCAAAACAAGCAACAAATTGATCCCAATTCTTTCTAATAGATCTAATATTTAAGTGTAGAATTGTCATCCCAAGGTTATATTTTTGTAGTTTAGCTGATTTTTCAAACTGGGTAGAATTCAAGTGAATATATGATTTATTCTCCTCATCAAAAACAATATCTTGATCCATATTTAATCTCATTTTTAATATTTTTATTTTAGTTCTATTTTAACCCTGGAATGAAAACTCTCACCCAATCTTAGCTAAGTCGGACATCTCATTAATTACTATCACATCACTTTCCTTTGTTTTACGAAGCCTAACCGCACCATACTTAAACCAGATGAACTCATATCCTAGATACTTCCTTTTTTCTTCGCTTCTTTTAATAGGTTTCTAAAGTAAACAGTAAGGTTTTCATTTCACTTACAAAGATCTGGCCGCCTGGTAGTCCTGTCACCTGGTTGTTTGTCACAACCTTCCGCCTAGCTGCCAGCAACGCATCCCTCTTCTTCCTCCCGGCAAACTGGACGATGATGGTCGCAGGTCTATTGTCCCTCCGAGTTGATGGTAGACGGTGTGCAGCCTCGATGTCATCCTCTGTGATGTCTACTCCCATTTTCTCAGCAAGTTTCACAACTATTTCTTCCACATTTTCCTTCTTGTTTTCAGTTACTTCATTGATTTCTAGATTTTTGTTTCTGCCGTATTGCTCTAATTGGCTTAGACGCTTACTCAAATCGTGAATCTCTTCATCCTTCCGCTGAATTACGAACTGTAGATGCTCCACCTTTTCTTCCAGCTTTGGTAGAAGTTCCAGCTTGTGGATTATATCCTCATACTGTTCACTTATGAAGTGCTGACTTTTAATAACTTCCTTACTGTCTTCTTTAATTTTATCTAAATCCTCCTTCAAGCCTGGTTTACACGGGTCGAGTATGTCAGACGAGTTATTCGGCCCAGTTACTAGGCCCAGTTGTTGATTTGTTCAACTCGCCCGGTACTTGACTAGACTGTCTACACGCATTCCTAAAATTCCTATTTCGAACAATGACAGTGTAGGCACAGAGAAGTAATTTTTATAATTTCTCTGTGTTCTGTGGTGTTGGTGTAGGGTATTCCGTATACCGTAGCTTTCGTGTTAAATGTTGTTTGAGTTTAAAATGGGACTTTCAAGAGTTTAATGCTGAATTTAGAAATTAATTAAATCACTGAATTAGATTATTAGAATTAAAACTGAATCATCCATTTAATTCAGGCAGGGTTGCATAAAAGTTTTTTTTTTTTTATTACGATAGACCAAAGTGGAAGGTGATATTCTAAAAGAATAAGATTCGTTACAAATTACTATACCGGTACTGCATTTCTTTAAAATAAAATATATAGGCAACCAAAAGTTGCCTCCAAATAAAAAAAATGTGAAAACACTGTTTTTCAATGTATTTTTGATAGAAAACATTTTTAGGGAGTGAGCTTTCTAACAACCCATTGATTAATAAAATCGTTCCAGTAGAACTGTAGATCTTAAGTTGTACAACAATTTTGAAAACTGAATTTTATAAGAGTGAGTAGATTTACGAACAGCAAGACAATGCAACACAAGGCCAACTGTTCAACTGAACCATTTAATATTGAGGGTGATTAGGCATATACTACTGAACTAACCACAAAAATACTGAACGTTGTGATCGACTCTTTGTCAGCGACCACAAAATAACAAAAAGATTTTATTCTGTGGTCGCTGGACTCACTTGAGAGCAGTAAACAGATGTTTTGCGGGCAAATCGTGGTGGTGGGGGTAGCTACTGGGCCGAGCAACTCGGTTTTCAACTAAATCACTCGACTCGCTCTCAACTGACCTCTTTTTATCAACTCGCCCGTTGCTCGACTCGCCTGCATGTCTACACCAAGCGAGTTAAAGAGCGAGTGGCAACTCGCACACTGACTCGCCCGCCGTACTCGACCCGTGTAAACCAAGCTTTAGTGTCGGAAGAATTTGTAGCTGCTTGGACACATCTTTCATAATTTTTTTAAATACCTCTGTGATATTTTCATCATTATCTTCAGAAACATCTTTTTTAAAATCACATTTTTTCCCTGACTTGCATTTTAGACATTTCCATTCCTGTTTATGAATAAGTGTCATTTTTCTAAATATTGATTGACTTATTCCCGCACATGAATGATGATAATTAGATTTACAGTTAAGTACTGAACAAGTAATTAAATCCTTCACATCCAAAATGCTCTCAGTGCACTGACCACAATCCATCTTGATATAACCTCAAAACTAGAAGTAGCTAATAACAAGGAAAACACAGCCTTCCTCTAGCACTGCCTCAGACTGACTGGGAATTTAAAGGCCACTGGGGCAGATCCCCAAGGGAATTTACCACATTTCTATTATTCTAGTAATTATGGAGAATAAGTTGTAGTTTGCTTGTTTATGAACATATTTTGATCAAATTTGGAAAATACATTCATTTCTTACTAAATTACAGTATTAACATTTTACAACAAAAACACTTTTTTACCCTAACTGTTGCAACAAACCTAAGTACTTGTTAAACTAATTCTATTTAAATAGGGGATAAATGTGGTATTTTTAAGGAGACACATTAGTGTAAATCCAATCAGGCAAATAGAAATTCGCTAAGTCTGCAGGTTTGCTGCGGCGGGGGTATTTTGCTATTGTATGGTTTTAATCTATCAATTCCATTTCCTGTAAGATTTGTTTGGTTATTTAATGTGTGCTTTATTGCCAATGTTTGTGGTTTCAGTATTACGTGAAGGGACCATACTCTCCACTAGAGATGAAGTTGTACAGCAAGACCAAGAGCTCCTGTCAGAAAGAAGTGCGAGTAGAATGGAACTCAGTCAACTCTGTCTTGCTTGAAACTGACCCTAATCAACCATATGAGAAGTAATTTATTACATCTTTAGTAGTAATGGGTCGATCGGTTTTTCTCGTATTTGATCCTAGTTTGCTTGTTTATGGATATAGTACTGGGAGACCGAGCTTTGCTCGGAACATTTATTAGATAAGTTAATTAGCTTGATTAAATAACAATAAATCCTTATATATAATATGTGAAGGCGATTTCTACGAAACACTACTCCTCCGTTAATAATTGACGGATTTTTACAAACGAGGTGTCAAGATTAAGTATTTTTTGTGTAGACGCCCCCTTTCACAAATTCTTGTAATAAAAGTCTTCGGGCTTTGCCCCTCAGGCCATCAAAATCCCAATGTATTTCTTATGAAGAAAAGATTTTGTTTACTTAAACAGACGAATAATTTGTATTAATCACAGCTGTTCTTAGTAAAAGAGTGTTCGTTTTCAGTTTTTATAGATGGAGTGGAGTGAGCGTTCATTTTCAGAGTGAGTTTGTTTCCAGTTTCGATAACTGGAGTGGAGTGATTGATTACATTATCTTTGAGTTAACTCTTTTAAGTCAACGGAAATTGTGACTGTTGTTTGTAAAAAACGCCTTTAATATTTTGCAATTGCTCAAATCCGAGCAATAGGTGCACTAGTATATATATATATGTATATAATAGCTTACTTTATAAATACATTACAATCCACATCATGTTTAAGAATTCAACTTCCATAGTGATCGGTTTGTCGGTTGACAGGATTGAGGGAGCATTTGAATGATTGTTTATATTAGAGGTGTGCGGATAGTGAAATTTCATTTCGGATCGGATAGTTGAGGCTCGGTTCTGATTGGATCGGATATTGGGAGGTTCGGATTCAGATATTTTCGGATTCGGATAGTTCGGCGCGGTTAATAATAAGCTGCATATGTATTTTTAACCTATAAAACAATGTAAAGCTGTGTAAATAATTTTAAATTACGATTTTGAATTATAGAATTTCAAATTAGCCAAGTCCACAGTTTTCTCTCTCTTGAAAATCACAATTCACAACATTTATTTTCAAAAGTTGGTTGCTTGAATTAAGTACACTAGCAGCCAAAATCTTCACACAACACCTTAGCTCAGCAGGACTGATGTCAAACGTTGGGGCTTGTTTACTTGAGGTTATGTTTTTTATGTTGTTTCCTGGTTCTCACAAGACAAGGAGTTTGATCTCAAGTTTATTTTCACATTGTATTTCCTTACGTTTTTGGAACGGATTATTGGCCTTAACCCTTTGCGCTCGGAAGGCCACTATAAGTGCCCATGACGTAGTCGCAGACAGCTCAGAATTATTTACGTACCCTCTGTCTCTCCCGCTCGGATGGCCACTAATGGTGGCCACTCATATTTCTCTGCCAACTCGGCAGCCATTTTGCCAGCTGTGCTTCGGCAGCTTTGAATTATTTTCTCGAGTTGTGTTCCAATGATGACATCAATCACTTTAAATAATGAATTAAATAATTATGAGTTTGTTAGAATGAATGTTAATAATGAAAAACGTAATTTAATAACCTAAAAACTATTTTGAACTATAACTTCAGGCTCACTATAGATAGATTAAGTAATGATAAAACAAAAATACCATATTTGACTAGGCTCTCAGGAGTCAATTATTTTATAAAAAAAAAAAAAAAACTAAATTATGCTATATGACAAAATTTGTGCCTTAAGTCTAATGTATATATTCCTCCCTGTAATGTGAACAAAAATTTTATTCAGATAAAATAAAAATTTTGCTAAAAATATCAAATATTTTATCACTCTACACACACTGCACTATGTGTTGTGGTTGAATCTTCTGCATTGGTTTGGTAAATAAGAAGCAAAATGAAATAATGTATTTTAATCATTTTATTGTGAAAAAAGAGGAATTTGTATTGGCCAAAAGATACTAAATGAAATTTTTAGAAAATAATACTGGATTACTGGTAAAAAGAACAAAAAACATCAAGTATATATTAAATCTATCTTTGTAGAGTTCCTACCTTTTAAACACCATTTTATTTCCATAAGTAAGTAAGTTATTAGGCCTAAAACTGGGAAAATATTCCATAACATTTAAAGAGGCTAGGTACAGCTGAATTAAATGGTCAATAATACATAAAATATCAAACTTATCTAAAACATACTAATAATTACAAAACCGTGCACAAATCTAAAACTGCGCAATCACTATAACTAGTTAAAAAGATATTGTGTAATAACTAATAAAAAAAAATGCCCTAAAAGGTTATAAATACTACTTCAATCCAACTTTGTAAACACTGAAACAAAAAGTAGTGACATGACGTGATGCATAGCGTTGGATTGATACTTTTTTTTCCTTTTCTCGGCGGTAAAAAGGCGGGAATTGCATTGGCTGATGTAGTTTAAGAGTTACTCAATAGATTGCAGCACTCATCAGACATCCTACTATACCTATTATTAAACAAATATAAAAAAAACTTTGTGGGCACTGGCACAGGCCATCCGAGCGGAAGTCTGATTTTGTTATGGGCACAATTTGTGGCCATCCGAGCTGTGAGACACAACGTTGCCATTTTAATTCTGAGCTGACACGATAATGGCGATGGCCACTATATGTGGACATCCGACTGCGTAGGACAGACATTAAATTACCTCTCCGAGCGCAATAGTTAAAAGTGGCATTTTGCTGGTTTACCAAGTTTAGAAAACATCACTAATGCACTAAGCTGGGCTCTAGCTCACGATTTGATGTTGGGCAATTAGGCTTTATAACTCTGTAAAAGGTGTGTATCCCTGAATTTATAAATTTCATTCTACACTTATTCACTGCCAAACATAATTCAGTAGAACCTTGATGAACCGAGAATTACACTAGCCTACATAACTTCATTACCCCAAGTAAAATACCAAGATAACTTTTATAATTGTATTTGAATCGTTTAATCTTAGTTTGTTAACCCTTAGAGTGCCAGGCGAGAAATAAAAGTAACGCTCAAAAAATGCCGATGATTTTTCCCGAAGGTCGCGCTAAAAATTCCGAGCGCGATCTGGCGATTTTTAGGTTAAAATTTCGTAAAAATCGAATTTTCGATATTTCAACCAACGAAAATCGATGTATCGCATCTAGTAACTTTCGACTCAATGTTAATATATGGGTTAAAAGAATCTGAGTATCCATTCGGTTGTTATGACAACTGTTCGATCATTACGAAACGTCCGGTTAGCCGGACGTTGGCACTTTTGGCTCGTTCTAAAAACGTCCGGTCGGCCGGACGTCGGCACTTTTGGCTCGTTTTAAAAACGTCCGGTTCCCCGGACGTTGGCACTCAAAGGGTTAAAAATGGATTGTATGTTCAACAATTGCAGTCCATTATTGTTATGCAGTATGGTCCCAAATTATTGTTTTTGATTTTGAAACATCACAGTTCATTTGACAAAATTATAGTTGAAGCAGCCCAATGTCAAGTCACGCTTGTGCAATAGTTTGTTTACAAGCTTTCTCCAGACCACTGGGGAGGGTCGGGTCTGATAAGCCGTCTATTGTTCACCCCCAAGAAGGTTTGACCCTCATTAGTGCCGCTTGGCTGCACTCAGTGGGGAACCCAATACCACAAATAAATCTTTTAAATGAATAAAAATATTTGGTAATAATTGTTTTATTATTAATCACCTTGAAATTTCAATAAATTTGGTGTAAAATTTGACAAAAATCTTCCATTTTGACCGATTATTAATACAGTACCAAATACCAATAAAGTACATTCATTGGTAATTAAATAATAGGTAAAAATTAACCGATTTTCGTCCAGTTTAACCCCCGCTGTGTGCTATGTCACAAAAGCTGATAACGACATGGGTGATTAGTAACCATGGCAACTTGTTGAATGCGTGTTGAAGGGAAACCCAAGAAATAGAAGAACAGAGAGTAATAATGACGTTGTTATCTTTATACCCTTTTTACAATTTCTGTTATTGTTATCTTTATGTAAGATTTTATGATTTTGTTTTATAGGTTTATAAAATAATTCTTTTTAACTACGTGAATATTAATTTATAATTTATCATCGTGCTTCTCTTCTGAAACAGCAATACCGGATGCATAATAAAGGTCAATGACCTAAAATATCACGATTGTGCAATATTGTATTTTGATGTTGAAATTAAAATCAGACAAAAGTTTGTATATATCCATGGTCCCTATCGTTTAATCATTTAATATGTACACAATCAATGCTAAATAATCATGGTTAGTTCTAACTTTATTTTTTATTATTCAAAGTTTCTACACAATAAGACAATCCAAAGTCAAACCGGGCAATGAATATCCAAAAAACAACATATCTTGTCCTGTGATTGGAATACCACTCGCCGGCCAGTCCTGGTTTAGGGAAGTAGTGCAAGTCTATATATAGCTTCAAGGTCTTACCCACCCCTTCCCCCTCCGGTCCTACTTGACTCACTATCCGCGCTCCTTTCGAGGTCATTGCCCAACCCCTCCCACCCTTCTATTGTGTTGCCTTTCTATTGTTTCTATTCTGACTTTTTTTCGGGAAACATTAAATCTATTGTTTACGTAACATCACAGTAGTAGGCTAGATTTTTCTACTTTGAAACAGTACTGTAAAAACAGAACTCTTATGCAGCGCCCCTAGTATCAGGAGCGAGACAAGCACGAGTTGACTTTCATTTGACCATGGTAGTTCTTTTCTGCTTTATGTCTGTTCGTTCCAGATGAATCTAATCGTAAAGCAAAACAGCCGATAACGACTAAACTAGTTATCGGTATTGCATCATACAGCTTCTTTGCCGTTTGCTGTTAGGTCGTTGGAAACGTGTTGCTGTAGTTTTGTCCTGGGAAACTAATGATGGTTATGGAGATTTAGTTTTATGTCCAAAACGTCAAAATATATTGTCTATCCGAAACAGTCGGATATATAACGGATAGTGTCGGATATCGAATTTGGGCTCGGTTCGGATACGGATATCCAAACCGAACCGAATCCGACGCGATTTTTCGGATATCCGCACACCTCTAGTTTATATCTTAATTTTATACGTGCGGGTTTGGGTGGGTAGGATTTGTTGGCAGTTAGATCATTTTCAAGCCGTTTTGGTTCTTTACTAAATTGCAGGACAAGAGTAGGCCATGTAAAGCATACCTTGCATGAAAACCCTATATATTTTCGCTTCGGAGGTCTTCCACGTTTCATTCATAATCTTGAAAATTAATATTGAAAACATTTAACACTAAAACAATTAGTTCAAACTAACCAATACAGTTATTTTTGGCTACACATCAAATCAAAAGATAACGATAAAATAACCTGTATCAGCTTACTTTGTTAACTACAGCTACAAAAAGGTATTGACGATAAGATGGGTAGTGATGTGGACCGGGAATATTCCCAGTGGGAGGGAACTTTGCTGAAAATGGGAATATTTCTTTGGCCTGAGACCGGGAAGATTCCCAAATATTGGGAACTTATGAAAGTTTTAAAATTTTGAACGTTTTAACTAGTGATTTTAGAACATTTTAGAAAGTACCACCAGAAAAAAAAAATAAAAAGAAACATTAAAATACATTAAAAACTGTTTTTTTTTTCAAGTTTTATTTCCATGTTTCTATTTGTAGCCAACTTTAGGCTGCTTGATTGAGTTTTTCAGGAAACGCTCATTAGTAATTTATAGGAAATTTTATTCTCTTTCTGAATATCACCTTCCACTTTAGTTTATTCCCTCACCATTTAAAAGTTATTTGCAAAACAGCTAAGCAACCTTTAAATTTATAGGGGTGAGAAAATACTGAATTAGAGATATTGTTGTTAAACTTACAATTCTACTGGACAGATTTTATTAATAATTAATAGGTCAATGGAAAGCTTTATTCGTGAATATTTGCAAACAATTAATCAAGAAGGTTTGTTTTTGTTGTGATTTATAGTGAGTGATTTACAATAAAACTTGTTTTCTATAAGAAATACATTAAAAACAGGATTGTTAAATTTTTATATTTGGATGCAACTTTTGGCTGACTTTTTGAGCATTTTCAAGACAAGCCATTGTAAGGCCTACCATTTTGTATGAAATTTTTTTCCCTTTCAGAATTTCACCCTCCACTTGTCGATTTCCTCACTATTTAAAGGCTATTTGCAAAAAACCTAAGCAACCTCCGAATTTATAGTAGTTTTTGTTCTACTTTATAAACAAAAATTTGCAGTTATCCTGGACCGATTTTATTAATTAATAATTCAACGGAAATCCTTATCCATGTAGATTTGAAGTAATAGGTTTGCCGGTACAGTATGCATCATCTGATCCTAAGAAACATGTGTTAATAATTGAAACTGCTGATTGTTGTATTGTTATTTAATTGATTTTTTTTGTTTAATGTTGTTGTTCACAATTTGCATTTGTGTTTCAATTGTGTTTCTAAAGTTATGTGCTTAATCTGTACCAATCATTATTAGTGAGTATACTGGTGTATAGAAATTCCATAAACATTATTTTCCTAGAGACCTTTGTATTTAAACACAACAGGCTCTGTTGCTAGTTTACATATAAAACCTTAACAGTAAATCCAAAAATTTCCTGGTCAATTTTATAAAAAAGCTGAGGTACACAAGTGATACTCAGGTCAAGTAGTATCAGGGTCTCACTTCCCATGTTAACACGACAACTCAGGCAAAAATGATCCGATATTGATCAAATTTGGTATAATCATGTAAACCTATATTTATTCAAACGAGTTTGAAAACCAGCACTCAGACTGTGGGAATGTGGTTTTATAGAGGGTTTTATGGGGTAAAAAATTGGGTTTTTTTCACTTTTGACCCCTAAACATAAAAATCAAATGAAATACAATTTTGCAATTCCTTCTAGAATATTTTGTAGAGCTAAAAAGAAATTTAGTATATTAGAAGCATTGTTGTATGCCAAATTAATGGTTACAGAGAAAATTAAAAAAGTAAACAGTTACAACAATTTAGAATGGTTTAATTTTGAGTCTTAACAATATCAGTAAACAATGACTGTGGCAGGCTGTTGGTGGCTGGACATGTCGGTCAGTCAGCAGACAAATCAAGGCTCACTCTCAACCACACAACAGTTCTTCCCAACATCAAGGGTTTGGCAGCTCTCATATGTCTCATCTTCGCACCTACCATAGAATTAAGGTAACCACTAATCAGATAGTGAGTGTGTAAACACATGAAAGGTAGGTAACTTCCTCACTTACATGTAAACAATTACTACAGAACAAATTTTACAAAATATGTTGGTATTAAAATAACAAAATTATTTATTTTCAGTTTTACCCTAAAGGTGCGTCCACACTTGACGAATGTTCGCTAACATGTCACTGTTCTCCAGCGAACATTTGATGTCCGCTAAGTGTGGACGCATTGGCGAACAACGTTGGGAGAGTAGGGGTGGGGGTAGCATGTCGCCATTTTGATCTTATCTTATCTTATCTGATAGGGGCAGGCCAAGACCTTAACCCATTGGCCTAGACATACGAGTCTGTCTTGTAGCGCCGCAATCCGGGTCAGACGTAGAGATACGATACTGTTCCGTAGTGAATTACAATCGTACTGTAACCTACTCCAGGGTCGACGTAGTTCCATATTTCGCCGACAGATGGCAGTGGAACTCCGTTTTACGCATTTCTTGGTCAATTACGACAATTATTAAGAAAATCTTTATACTAAAACTATTTATTTACGAAGCAGAGTTCACAGTCCATTTCAGTTTTATACATATATTTACTTTATTATATTTCTTGAAATATACTGATTTATAAAAACTTGAATAGTAGAGTATTTTGTTTTATATGTTGGTAACCTGTACGTGTGTTTACATTTTGTAAACATGTACATGTGCATATGTGCGATCGTTCTGACGTAGTTGTATGTTTGTTTTGGCTAACCTCACGAATGTGTTTGGAATTATTTGGTGTTTTGTTTGGTTAGTAATGAATACTGTGTTTGATTGTTTTTTATAAAATGTGGAAAGATACTAGACCGTCTGAAGTTGAACGAATGTTACTTGATAGTGATTATGAAGATGCTGACTTTGTGAGTGACAATGAAGAGGGGTTCAGAGAGTTGGACGAAAATGTAGTGCATAATGGTAGCGGGGAGGAAAGTGACTGTGAAAGTATTTCTTTTCAATTAGGCCTTGGCCTAGATAATGATATTCAGGATAATATTGTGCATTCAGATAGGCCTGGTGTATCTGGCCTCAATATTTCTAGTGGACCTATGGAAATTGATACCGAGGAACAAATTGTAGACCTAGGCCCAATAGTTGGTGGTGGAGGAGACAATTGCCTCAATGATAACCCTACTATACAACCTGAGCAATGTAATCACACTCAACCCCCTAAAAAATGTAAGTACCAAAGAAAAAACGCAGAGGATACGCGGATGAATTAGGCGTCCGGCAGTTACTGTCATAACCTAACCTAACCAACCAAACTTGCTGATAGTGAAAAAAATCAAATGAAGGTTCAACTCTCTTCATAACATAAAATTATAAATGCCAAAAATTCTAACAAAAGATGTACAGTTAAGAAGAAATTACATTCAAAGCAAAATCTGTGACAAAAAGTTAAAGCTACCGATGGGTTTCGAACCGGGGACCTCTCGCACATCAGTCGAGCACTCTATCCACTACACCACGAACACTGATGGCTGAATATCGTATCATTGTGGTAATGGCGTTCCGGGACCCCCTACCGGACGCCTAATCCACGTCTGGTTACCGGACGCCTAATCCACGTCTGGTTACCGGACGCGTATCCTCTGTGAAGAAAAAAACCTAAAGAGCCTAGGCCTAAGAAAAATCAACCAGCTAAGAAAAAGAAACCTAAATTCCAGGACTCCGATTGGCCGTGGTTAGATGAGGACGCCCCAAAAAATTTATTTTCAAGGTACACCAGGACTAAACGTTAGGGTTCAACGTAGTCTTGGCGTAAATCCTACTGAGCTTGATTGTTTTGGACAGTTTGTTGGGGAGGAATTTTGGCAGATGCTCTGCACAGAAACAAATGACTACACCAGAAAACAGCTTTTAGACGAAACCAGGAAATCATTGAAGACTGATGAGAAGTGGCGTGATGTTGATGTAGGGGAGATGAAGGCCTACTTTGCACTTTATGTGCTAATGAGTCAACTGAAGAAACCCTCGATTCAAATGTACTGGTCGCAAAGAAAAATAATTGAGACTCCGATATTCAGCAACACAATGTCAATGGAGCGTTTCAATTCTATTTCTAGATTCCTTCATTTTTATGATGAAGCGACAGAAAACCTGAAGAATGATAAATTGAAGAAAATTTGACCAGTTATTCGATAGGGCCTACCTAGAAACAAAGTTTTTACAGACATATGAGCCAGAAAGGAAAATTGCTCTTGATGAAACCTTACTCAAAATGAGATCCCGCCTTGGTATTATTCAGTTCAACCCAAAAAAAAGGGCCCGTTTTGGGGTATAGATCTACAAAGTGTGCGAGTCATCATCTGGCTACTGTATGGTGTTCAAGATCTATGTTGGTGACGACAAGCAAGACGATGTGTTAGCGAGCACTTCAGTGACTCTTGATCTTTTACAACCTTTTTTTGGGAAAGGGTATATAGCCTACTTGGACAACTGGTACTCCTCTCCATTACTGTACACTGCTTTGTTGAAAGAAGACACTTATGCTGTAGGAACAGCCATTTGCAACAGACGATGCATTGCCAGAATATTCTTGAAAACTGATTTGGAAAAAGGAGATTTTTTGAGGAGGTTTGGGAGAGGAGTGCTCGCAATCAAATGGAAAGACTGTAAAGATGTCTACATCCTATCAACACTACATGAAGGAGTTGAAATGGAGACAGCAATTTGACATGGGGAACTAAAGAGGAAGAAATAAAGAAGCCAAAAGCTGTCATCGATTATAACAGAAAGTTATAATATAATAAAGTATATAAGTATAATAAACGATAACACAAGTTTTGTTTAATACATAGATGTTCCCCATTTATGCGTTTGAGTCACTGTGTAATGTCAGTCACTTGCAGGGCCGTCCGAAGGGTTGCCCCGGGCGCCGCGCAGCGGCTATTGGTATCAACGCACGGGTCCCGAAATTTCAGGAAATTTTCGGGGAAAAAATATTCCCGATTTTCGAGACGGGATTTGATCCGATCATCGGCAATTTTGACGGTTCGCGAGTGAAAATGACGCTGCTATCGCGTGAGATGTTCACTGTAATTCCACCAACGCAGGAGGAGGAGTCATTTCGACGATCGCACTGTGACCGCAAGTCATTTGGACGATCGCGCCGTGACCGCGGAGTCATACAGACAATCGCGCCGTAACCGCGAGTCATACTGTTGATTTCACCGTGACCGCGAGTCATACCGACGATTCCGCCACAACCGCGAGTCATACCGACAATTCCGCCGTGACCGCGAGTCATGCCGATGATTCCACCGTGTCCGCGAGTCATACCGACGATTCCGCCACGACCGCGAGTCATACCGACGATCACGCTGTGACCGCGAGTCATACCGACGATTACACTGTGACCGCGAGTCATGCCGTTACAGGGTGTCCACATTCTGGAAAGTCAGGGCTAGTCATGGAAAGTCATGGAAAAAAATTTTGGTCATTGAAAGTCAGGGAAATAGGCAAGAAGTCATGGAAAGTCATGGAAATATCCAATTATGGATGGATTTGAGGGGAAAATTCAATGCTCTAGTCAGCCGTAACCCGGACTGTTGTAGCATTTTTCAGGATTTTTCACAAATGTTCGACAATTCAATTTATTACAGTTGTATTATTTTATGAGTTTTCGGTTTGTTTTAGTTCATTGTTGTACCTATTGTACTCCATCGTTATCTGTTATTACATATTTCAGTATTTTCTGCAAATTAACATGTCCAGGCAGTATTATTTGTGTGTGTCTGTTTATAATAATTTGCGTGTAAAGTTCGTGAGTCATGGAAATCAATGGTAAATGGTCATGGATAGTCATGGAAAGTCATGGAAATTAATGACAAATTTTTTGTGGACACCCTGTGCCGATGATAACGCCGTGACCGCGAGTCATAACGACGATCACGCTGTGACCGCGAGTCACAAGTTTCTAGCGACAACCTGTAAATTTTTACCCTTTTTTGCTTTTGACAGATCAGTGCCACAAATGGCAAAATTGATTTGTCTTTTTTGGTAACTGCAATACTCAAGACTTTCTTTTTATGCACAAGAAAAAATCCCGTTCGTCCCGTCCCGAATTAAAAATTCAATCCCGTCCATCCCTAATTAACATAGTATTAAAATATGCGAATGCCACTATTACTGGGGAGGGGGGGGGGGGCGCCACGACCACATTTGCTCCGGGCGCCACTAACCCTAGGGACGGCCCTGGTCACGTGACCTACATCAAAGTCAAAGTCAAAGTCAAAATAAACTTTATTCGTACGAATACATAGAAGCATCAGAATAGAGTCACATATAACTAAAAATCATGCTATATAGCTAAAATACAATATATTTAAAACTATATATAAAACCCAGGCAACCAGTAGTGGAGCCCTCACTTAAGGAGACTCTGAAAAAGAATAGAGAGCTTTATTAACAAGATATTCTTTCAGCAATTTTTTTAAATTTATTGTAATGTTGCTCATTTCTAATTAAATTTGGCAACTGAGTAAAAATTTTTTTTTTACTTTACAGCTCTTTACAGCTTTTGTAACTTTACATTACATGTAATTTGGGTCACTCTGGAAATGGTGGGTCACATGGTGTTTTTTGGCATATAAATAAAATCGCTAACTTTAATGGTCATTTTTAAGTTAAAAATTATACTTTTCAGTAAATGGTTTAAAGGGGAAAAAAATTTTAGCTTATAATTTGTATTGTGAGTTAGATCAAGAATATAGAAAGATCCTGAAATCATTATCACAATTTTTTTTAGTTTTATTTGAGTTTTTTAACAACTTGTATATTTATAGCAATCACATTTCTCACACTTTGGTTTTATTGGTTATCTAAAAAGCTATTGGAATCATAATTTGCATAATTCATTGTAGATATCCTTGTCAAAACTTAGGATTGTTTGTGTGACCCAGATAACACAAAAAGCAGAGGTTGAATTTCTCTTCTAGCAATAATAAATGTTATTACCTAATTAATTTTAGAGCTAATAAGATCAGTTTTGTGAACTACAAAGGCTAAACATTAGAAGAAAATAGACTTATTACTATCGGTTAGTTACTATTGGTTAGTATTTGTTCTTTTAGGTTATTCTGTTTGTGGAAAGAGGACAAAGAGCATAGTTAAGATGTCTTAATTTGTGCATTTTCATCTATTTTTAATCTATTTTTTTCATTTTTAGTAAGGTAAGACTAACAGATAAACCTATCCACCACAAAATCCTTAAAAACACTTGTCTAAAAACATCTTTACCAAAAATTGTAATAACTTGTATTACAGTTTATTAATAACTTGTAATAAATTGTAATCGTAAAAATTTACGAGGATAACAGTTACTCCTTAGAAATAAATATACATGCTGAAATATTTCACAGGACCGACAAATTTAGATCAAGATACATTGGAGCGCTTTGTGGCTTAGGAAGTGACGCCGTGACTGGGCGACCTTTCTTCCAAGAAAATGATATGGAGATCAAGTTTGATGTTGAAATAAAGGATGAAGATCTTCTTTTGGTAAGGACATAGTATCTACTTTAAGTAATAGCTAAATATCATGCATAAGTATACATAATGAAAAATATTAAATTGAATTCAATTCAAATTATCTTTATTCATCAAGTACATTAGAAATATATACATGAATAGTGTCACATTCCTATAATAAAAATATACAAATATATAAAAATATTTTTTTTATTATAAAATATACATGCTTAGGCTATAGTAAATGGGAAAAATTGTAAAAGAACAAAAAACTAAACAGTTAAAACATACTTTGATTAGTAGGGAAAGAAAAGTCAATTACAGTTCATCAAATGAATAAATAGCCCTGCTAATGAGAAATTTCTTAAGTTTGTTTTTAAATTTTTTTATATTTACTTCTGCTTGTATGTCCTTTGGAAGTTTATTATAGAATTTTGTTCCGGCGTATTTGAGGTTTTTTTTTCGAAAAGGCGCAATTTATGAGGATTTAATGCTAACTTGCCTCGATTTCTTGTAAGATAATCATGTTTCTTTCCAACCAGCTCTATTTCATGAAATCTGTTTTTAACGGATACCACTGTTTCAAAAACATACATACCGAAAACTGTCATTATATTTTCAGTTTTAAACTTTCTCTTGTGTTACCATATGAGTTGTGACTATTGGATACTGAAGTAGACTCGCGGTCACGGTGCGATCGTCGAAATGACATGTGGTCACGGTGTCATCCGGCGTTATCGTCGATATGACTCCGTGGTCATGACGCGATCGTCGGTATGACTCCGCGGACACGGCGTGATCGTTGGTATGACTCCGCGGTCATGGCGTGATCGTTGGTATGACTCGTGGTCACGGTGCGATCGTCGATATGACTTGTGGTCACGGCGTCATCGTTGATATGACTGTGATCACGGCGTGATCGTCGTTATGACTCCACGGTCACGACGTGATCGTTGGTATGACTGCAATCACTGCGCGATCGTCGTTATGACTCCACGGTCACAGCTTGATCGTCATTATGACTCTGTGGTCATGACGCGATCGTCGGTATGACTCTGCGGTCACGGCGTGATCGTTGGTATGACTCGTGGTCACGGTGCGATCGTCGATATGACTTGTGGTCACGGCGTTATCGTTGATATGACTGTGATCACGGCGCGATCTTCGTTATGACTCCACGGTCACAGCTTGATCGTCATTATGACTCTGTGGTCATGACGCGATCGTCGGTATGACTCTGCGGTCACGGCGTGATCGTTGGTATGACTCGTGGTCATGGCGCGATCGTCGGTATGACTGCGATCAAGCCCGATCGTCGGTATGACTGCGATCATGGCGCGATCGTCGGTATGACTCCGCGGTCACTGATTTTGCCTCCTGGGTGCGGGGAACTATAGTGAACATCCCACGGGATAGCGGCGTCATTATCACTCGCGAAGCGGCAAAATCGCAGCAAATAATCTCTTACCTTTGGGAGCCCGTGCGATCGGATCAAAGCCCGTCCCGAAAAATTCCCAAATCAAATGTAATCCCGTCCCGAAAATCGGGAATATTTTTTCCCAAAAGTTCAGGACCCGTCCATCCCTAGAAAAAATCATCATGGTGGATTTTTAAATAAGTAGAGGTGTGCGGATAGTGAAATTTCATTTCGGTTTGGATTCGGATCGGATAGTTGAGGCTCGGTTCGGATCGGATCGGATATTGGGAGGTTCGGATTCAGATATTTTCGGATTCGGATAGTTCGGCGCGGTTAATAAGAAGCTGCATATGTATTTTTAACCTATAAAACAATGTAAAGCTGTGTAAATAAACTTAAATGACGATTTTGAACTATAGAATTTCAATTTAGCCAAGTCCACAGTTTTCTCTCTCTTAAAAATCACAATTCACAACATTTATTTTCAAAAGTTGGTTGCTTGAATAGTACACTAGCAGCCGAAATCTTCACACAACACCTTAGCTCAGCAGGACTGATGTCAAACGTTTGGGCTTGTTTACTTGAGGTTATGTTTTATCTTGTTTCCTGGTTCTCACAAGCCAAGGAGTTCGATCTCAAGTTTATTGTATTTCCTTACGTTTTTGGAACGGATTATTGGCCTTAAGTGGCATTTTGCGGGTTTGCCAAGTTAAGAAAACATCACTAATGCACTAAGATGGGCTCTAGCTCACGATTTGATGTTGGGCAATTAAATTAGACTTTATAACTGTGTAAAAGGTGTGTATCCCTGAATTTAAAAATTGCAATCTACACTTATTCACTGCCAAACATAATTCAGTAGAGAACCTTGATGAACCGAGAATTACATTAGCCTACATAACTTCATTACCCCAAGTAAAATACCAAGATAATTTTTATAATTGTATTTGAATCGTATAATCTTAGTTTGTTAAAAATGGATTGTATGTTTAACAATAAATGCAGTCCATTATTGTTAAGCAGTATGGTCCCAAATTATTGTTTTTGATTTTGAAACATCACAGTTCATTTGACAAAATTATAGTTGAAGCAGCCCAATGTCAAGTCACGCTTGTGCAATAGTTTGTTTACAAGCTTTCTCCAGACCACGAGGGAGGGGAGGGTCTGATAAGCCGTCTATTGTTCACCCCCAAGAAGGTCCGACCCTCATTAGTGCCGCTCAGCTGCACTCAGTGGGACACCCAATACCACAAATCAATCTTTTAAATTAATACAAATATTTGGTAATAATTGTTGAATTAATATTCACCTTGAAATTTCAATAAATTTGGTGTAAAATTTGACAAAAATCGGCCATTTTGACCGATTATTAATACAGTACCAAATACCAATAAAGTAGTACATTCATTGGTAATTAAATAATAACAATAAAACTGTCTTCCGCTGATCCATAAGGATGAGAAATATACTAATATAAGGGAGTATGTTTTATAATATATTAAGTGGGTTTCTTACTTAAATAGTAGCTTATTGGTATGCAAAAAGATAAAAATGCACATTTAATTTGGATCTATTACATGTTAAGAAATGTCTATTTTCGGTGTCCGCCATTTGTTTATTTTATTCGAATAAATACCATTTTGTGAACTTCTGCAAATAAAATTATTGAGTTCGTATTTTATATACTGGGCTTGTAACCTTGAATCATAAATCATAATAAAATTTACATGTTAAACGTCATTAAAGAATTACATTGTAGTGGTAATGTGTTTTAAATAGAGCTATTGAATTTAAATAAATATTTATCAATACATTATAAAGTGGTAAGCCTAATGTATTCATGGATTGCATTAAAAGTTAGTCTATGCATAAGTACAACTTGTAAATTTCTTTTATCGTAGGCTATTAGTGTAGAACCCGGGTCATCCTCTTAATTTTGTTGAATTAATATTAATTTTACGTCTTTCATTAGGCCTACTTTTTAAAAGTCTGGAGTTTTTCTCCAGGCTGGTTCTAAATGGACCCAGGCGTTCTTGTTTGTTACAATTCTTATGAATGGTGGCCATAGCTAAAATTACTTGATCTTATCCAAAAACAAAGCTATTGTCTATTGTGTAGCTCAGTACTGGGGAACGGTGAACCGAGCAATTATTTATTTATTTTATTTTATTTACCAACGGCAATAGCAATGGCTTGGTATAGTTTATATCGATTGTGAAGGCAATATAAAGGAAACCCAACACTCAAATCAGGAAAATCCGTCAATTCGTTTATTAAGAATCGTGAATTAAAATAACCTTGTCACGTTTTATTATATGAATATTATATCTTCTCCTATTTTTTACTAGTGGTGCTTAGGTGTACAATCTAAAAACGGTTTTAAAACATGTAACATTATTGCTAAAAAATTCAACACATTTTAGAATTAGGCAACTATTTACTAGTAGGCCTACAATGCTTTGGTTCAAACTATTAGGCCTGGATAAAAACTTAGTCTATGTCATCATATTTGTGCACGTAAGTTGGACGGTTCAACAACGAACATTTAATTTAAAATCTATGAATTAGTTATGGAAGTTACGATGGTTGATGACTGTATTAATTAATGGTTTTGGTTTATTACGACATTACGATTAATTCTGTTTTCCGTGTTTAAGAACTAGCGTGTATTTTAGCTTAGTTTCGTAGAGGTTTAATTATGTAGTACCAATTCAACTGAATTTTTAATATTTTTCGTATTCTATTATTTTCTTTTATACTGATGGCATTTATATTTAAGATCGAAATCATAAACATTTAACTGGCCATTGTACAGTTTAATAAAAAAAAACACTTTTTCATGATTTTTTTATTGTCTTTGAATTTGGGCTAGTTATCTGTTAAAAGTGGAATTGATAACAAAAACAATAACATTTACTGTATCTTTATTGACACTGACATTTTGAAATACGGCAGTGTACGATTATTTTGTCGTACAAGGTTGGCAACGCTCCGTGCAGTGGGCGCGGCCGGGTTAGCGACTTCCAGAGTTAGCGAATTCCGCCGCGAGACAAAATCGAGTTAGCGGGTTCCGGAGTTAGCCAATTCCTGACTGAGACGGTTAGCCAGTTCCAGAGTTAGCCAGTTCCGACACACGACCGAGTTAGCAAGTTCCTGAGTTAGCCAATTCCTACGTCTCGATAACTTGAGTAATTTTTGTCTGATTTTGATAAAATTTGGCATGCAAGTGTTAGGCGCGATTCTCCTTAACGAGTTCGCGAACCAGCATGATAAGACCAAGGGAACCCGGAGTTGTATAGGATAAAAATAGTTTTTTTCTCAATTTTAACCCCTATAACATAAATCTTTGTCTTTAAAATATTTTAAAGAGTAATTTAAAGAGTAAAGAGTAAAGATTATTTTAAAGAGTATAAAAAACAAATTAATATCTTAAAATGTTTTGTACGGTTATTGGCTACAGAGACTATTGGTAAAATTGTAAATTTTAAATTCCCATGAGATTCTTATGGAGAATAAGTTAACTGTTCTAGTGTGGTCGTTTATGGATATATTTTTATGAAACTTGGCAAAATTATTTATTTCTTATAAAGCTGTTAATATTTTGTAAAAAAAA